AATTTTGATGGTATTCTTGCTGTTAAGATTTTCTGTGTTTCTAAACTATTAAAAAGATCATTATTAAGGTTCATTTAGTTATCCTGAGGCACTGAGAAACTTGTTTGTGTTGCACTGGCTGAGATTCATGCAACCCGTAGCGCAAAATTGCACAACTTTGCCTGTTCAGGTTCCTATGATTTGCATAATACTACCCCTTAATTTATACACCATTGTGCTTAAAAAAGTTTTTCTTCGAATTTTTTAACTGGCAAAGTCCTCAAAATAAACAGTGTTGTAGTTTTGACCCTTCAAAAAAGGAAAAATTTTTTAAATTGATCAATCTTGATGTAAAAATGGCGTCAATGACCATGGTATCTTCTAAAAGGTCGGTTACCATTAGAACAGTCACAGATCAGGATCACTTTTGGCAAAACAATAGCTATAGTGTTGAACAAACTAAACAGAAACCGGCACTTTGATCAACTTCTTTGCTTTTCAAGTTGTAAGGTGCTGAACCAATCCTACCATTACTACACTGTATTAAAAGTGAGTATGCAGAAAGTATACTAGAAATTTCCTACCAATGACATTCCATTTCTGGACATGATCTTTTTTAGGGGAACAATTGCAACATTAGAAACTTCATGTAATGTATCATTATCTTGTTATTATAGAGAGGAGATACTGCTCTTATTGAAGCAGCAAGGGGAGGAAACTGTGATGTTGTAGAATTACTGTTGAAGAAAGGAGCTGATCCTTCACATTCAAACTATGTAAGTTATTTGTAGGCAATGTAATGTACACATGTAATTAGAATTTTATTTATTAGTTTCCTTAGAAGTACTAGAGTAGTACTACCTGCATGTACATGCGCGGTGTATAAGCACAAGCCAAGAACTACTGTATTCAAAGGCTATCAATTTCATGGATGTCACAATTTACCGTAATTCCTCTAAATATTCGATGCTCTAAATTTGAAAATAAATAATTATTTCAAAATTTCTACCATAATTCATTCTAAAAATTTGTTTTTAATATTATTGTTCCACGTGGTTCTAATTTCATCACTTACCTAAGTTCAGTATGAGAGAAGGATACTCTGAATAGCCAGGTTAATATACAGCTGGTTTCGTGTATTAATGGATCCCTCCAAATTTGACAAAATAATTTATTTTTGAGCTTCATAGCTACTCTCCCTCTAAAAATTTGTTTTTAAAAATTACAAATACAAAACTTGATGTGAGGAATTTTTAGAGGAAATACGGTATGAAAGATTTGTGAAAATTGATTTTGCGAAAATCAAATTATTACCGTACAAGATGACATAAATTTTTTTAATTAAATCTGCAAAATTGATTTTGCAAATTTTATAGCCCTCAAAAATTTGGCGCTATATGGTATACTGCTTATTATATGTTTAATGAGTATAAAGCTCATTCAAGTACTTCTTGCCTTATGTACATGTAAACACAAGTACTCAAGTCCTTGGTGGGTGTTCTGTGCTGTCACAGCAAATTGCATGGGCCTTGCAAACCAATTCATGAATTAATCTATGAACTTGAAAGGTGACTGTCTAATGTAAGTGTGTCTTGTATTGTGTGGTCACATTAAACAAACAGCCCACCTACAACTGCAGTCTGCCAGCTTGTAAGGTCTATGCAAATAGCTGTACTCAAGTACCCAACCTTGTACATGTACATGTAGTTGTATATACATGTATTTACAATTTTACATTCATTTTGACTAAAATTGTCAATCAGAATTATAATTTTATTTTTTTGGGAGGAAACCAATCTGTCATAATCTTGTTATTATAGTATGGAAATAATGCTCTTATTGTAGCAGCAGGGGAAGGACATTATGACATTGTACAGCTGCTATTAAAGAATGGAGCTAACATAAATGATGAAAATATTGTAAGTAATGTACCTGTATTTAATTACATAACCTTAAAGGCCAGGTTAAAATTGCTATTTTTTAAAAATTGTTTCAAAGTCTCCCAGCTGTGCTACACAAATAAAGTCTTTAAAATCATTTCAACCAAACCTCTGATCAACATGATTAAGGGTGTAAAAATGAGCAGAATTGAGTAATTTGAGTATACTAGCAATGTGGTGCACAAAAATCAACTGTGTATCACTCATATGAAACCAGCATTTTAATTGAGTATGTAAGGTAGGTTTTATGTGCTCTGTTGTGTGATAGCATCAGGCATGCATAAGCTTTTGAGAGCTAGCATAAATCCTAATTTTAAGGCATCAATTCTAGAGTACTATTCAAAGGTCATACATGTATATAATTCTTTTATCATATTTTATAGTTCAGAGAAACTGCTCTAGCTGTAGCAGCAAGAAAAGGATATGATAACATTGTACAACTATTGTCTGAAGAACCTCATCAAAATATTACAACTCATGTGAGTAATTATTGCCACATATACATTTTGTATAACAAAAATTAAATTAAAATATTTTAATATGCAAATACAATAAATTGCTGTATTTTCAAAACACATATAGGCATTTATTTCTTATAGAGATCCATTTTTGATCTTATTAAATAAAGTAGATGTTTGTTATTTGTTTATATGATAGGCATTTATATCCAGCAATTCTTAGGAGTTGGGCCTTCTTCTATATAGACTTCCTTCTCAGCTTCAACTGTTATGTTGCCCATAAAAAGTTCCAGTAACCACATGTGCAAAGGGGGCATGGCATAGGTGCCGTAATAAGCATATAAGCATATATTATATTTTTATTTGGAGTAGATGTTTTTGTGAGAAAATACAATATAATTATTGTAGATGACTAGCCCCTACTTATTTACCAAGAAAGTTTTGCAGAGAGAACACTTCAGTTTATTGACTACATCATGGACTCCTGACTACATGTATCACAGGCTCTAAAAAGTGCATTTTCTGTACTTTGATTTTAACCCCATCTAAGCTACATCTATAACTGCTGATTGACATTTTAAAGTGATGTTTACAAAGACTTGTTACATTTAAAATTCTTCCATAAAACTAATACCGTAAGACACCTTTTTTGAAGGCTGTAAATTTTGTGGATTTTGCAATTTTTTGAAGATTTGCAAAAATGAAATTTTTATGGTACAAGATGGCAGATGACATAAATTTGCGAAAATTGACTCGGCAGAATAGATTTTTAAGTAAATTTGCCAAATTTACAGCCCTAAAAAGGCACCCCATGGTAGTTTTTATACTTGTGTCATTATTTGTGGTATCATCTACTGTACCATAAGTTCAATGTAGAAATTAATTTTACTTATTACAAAGTATATGCATGCAGGTTGTGTACGTTGGTTGATTTGTTATTACATGACGTACTTCTCATCACAGCCATTGACTAGCAACCATTTGATCAGGCACATGCAATAATGCAACACCTACATGTAATGGCCTCTAATGTACATGTATATTCATAAATTAAATTATAAAAATCAAAATTGAAACAACTGTGGCATGCATCTACAACTTACATGAAAGTGTAGGATATCAGCTGTGCAGTTGCCCTTTACAGCAACAAAAATGGTTTTGTATGCATGTATATAACCAAGTGCTTTGAATTATAATTGTTCCTCTTTCTTTAAACTTCACATTTTGAGTGCACAAAGTATCACTAATACGATTTTAATGTCACAGATAGATTTACATGTATTATACATTTTAAAATAGAACTCAACTCAGAGCTCTACACCTCCCAGTACGTCAGCTGGAATAAATCAGACAAGTAAAGGCACAACCTCTGCTGATGATGTAGCTGCTATCACTGAGAAGCTAGAGGAGTTACAGAGTTACCTACCACAGATGTCTGAAATGATAGACAAAATGAAAGAGAGTGGTCCATCCAATCAACTGAATGAATTCAACAATTTGTACCAAGCAATACTAACCAAGACTACAAGGTAATAAGCTCATACCCATTATAATTTCTAATTATCCAATTATAGCATTAGCATGAGCACATTACAAACGGGTCATATTGTTTTGAAGAAAATGTTTCCTGAAGACTCATCTAGTGAGTGGTCATATTTATTATTTTCTAAACTTATAACTTATAATAATATTATATAGCAGATACTGATAGCATTAAAGACAAGGCGTCTATAAGTGCTACTTTTGCAGAAATTGGTAAGTGGAGCTACAACTTATGTAAATACATGTACTTCTGTTGTTTATGATAGATCTGATACATCTTCAAGAAGCAATGGAAGATGGCCTTGTTGAGTCTTTTGTCACCAAAGCTGTAGTACAAGGAGAAGCTCGAGTAGGCAAGAGTTCAGTGAAATCACTACTTGTTTCTGAGCCTTACACTGATAATACCAGCACTAACTGTATCGAACCACCATGTGTAGCTGTTAAGTGCTATGGCCACACTGGAAAATACTGGGAACGAATTAATGAAGAGGAAATGGGAATAAAAGTAATTGCTGCAGTTCAGTCAGGTGCTATGAAAAAATCAGAGTCACAATCTCATGCTGAGGAAATGGATCTTAGTAAGCCCAGTGAGCTACATGTTAAAAAATCCAATGTTAAAAAGCAACAGAAGTATCCATCTAAGGCTTCCAAGTTTCGAAATGAAAGTGTTCCTATGGATGATTATTTTTCCAGTTCTGGTGGTGCTTTAGCTGCAGCTACAATAGAGTTGACTAGTGACAGTAGTGAGAAAGATGCTGTTGTTAGGGTGCGCAAGTTTTATCAAAAATGTAAGCGGAGTCAAAAAGAAGGAACAAGTCTTCATGGTCGTCGTTGGCTCTATTTCATTGATTCTGGGGGCCAGATTCAGTTTCAAAAACTACTCCCAGCGTTCATGCCGTATGCATCAGTTTTACTTTTAGTAGTTAATTTATCTAAGAATCTTAGTGATCCATCCTCTACAGCAATGCAGCTTTCTGAGAAAGAAATTAGTGTTGGCCAGCATTCACTCTCAGTTATTGAGATTTTGAAGAATCTGCTCTCTGCAATAGCCTCCAGTGCCCAGCGATATCGCTCGTTGATTGCTGATGATCCTGTTCTTTCAAAATGCATCACACCTCCTTCAGATAAGTTGAAAGTGCTTCCCGTTGCTACTCACCGTGACAAATATGAAGAAGCACTAAAGGATGGTAAAGAATCGATTGTTAATAAAAAAATAACAATAAATGAAATCTTTCATCGTCATGAGACTTGTGAGATAGTGGGATGTGAAGGTAAAATATATCTGTATGAGGTTGATGGCCGTAAAGCTCGAGATAATGTCTTTGAGAATCTACAACCAGATTCGGACCTATATAAGATAGCTCAAGTATTGGAGGATAATGCATATCAAATCAAAGTTCCGTTGAAGTGGTATTGCTTTGGTGTCCTTCTCCATGATGTTGCTAAGGAAGGTTGTGGTGTTTTAAGTTTGTCTTTTTGTCAAAAACTTGCCCAACAATTAAAAGTCAATTTGTCGTCTGAAGAATCATTAAGTGCTATTAAATTTCTCAGTTTTCTCAATAAATTACTCTTTTATCCTGATTCACCTGCCGGAGATCTCGTTTTTGTTAATATAGAGAGTCTCATTAACATTCTTAGAGATTTACTAGTTTTTATTTGCAACACTCATTCTGAAGCAAATCTTCTACTTCCTGATCAAAAAGCACTCGTGTGTAAAGGTCATCTCTCCATTGAAATTCTTAAAAAGGCATCAAAAAGTTGTAATGAAATATGTGAGGAATTTTCTGACTTTGATATGAAGTTACTTGGTCTTTTTGAATATCTTCTGATTGCTACAAAGTTACCTGAGAAAGATACTTTCTTCATGCCAGCTCTTTTACCAATAAAAGATGTATCTGACATCAATCCCTACCCTAACACAACACCTCTGTTGTTGTATTTTGAAAATGCTATTCCAATGGGTCTCTTTTGTGCAGTCATTGTTCATCTTCTCTCACACAAAGAATCTCCATGGACAGTTGTTGAACAATCAAACTTTTCAAACTATTTCACTTTACAATGCCCAGACCTTCTTGAAAGTAGAATTATTCTTGTGGAACAACTCAACTGTATCACGCTTCATTGTAGAGCAGAAGATGATTTTATTCCAGCAAGGGATGCTGTGGAAAAAGCAGTTGCCGTAGCAATGTCTAAGCATAAACTTAGTATGTGTGAGAAGCCAAAAAGAGCATTTTACTGTCTCTGTGGTAAAGGAAGGCATATAGCTGAAGTATCATGGGTTAAACCACAACATCGCTATGTTTTTCGTTGCACTATTGACTATGAGTCTCAAAAATTGCCTGACTGCTTGAATTGGCTAGATCAGACAAGTAAAAGTAAGGCTAGAGTAGAATTGTATTTTTAATACATACTTTGTTATAATTATTATAGGAAAACGACAACATGATGAGTTACAACATTTACCTTTTGTTCTGGAAACAAGTGAGTTCAACACGTTTTATATAGATCACATCTATCCTGTTGAAGTACACCTGAATTTTATTATTATTTTTCTGAGTGTATATTCTTTTGTTTTATAGATATTGCATATCAAGTTCTTGTAGATAGCACAGAAGAGATCAAAGAATATTTTTCTGATGATTTTTCAGAAATCGCAAGCAAGCTGCTTCAGATGAATCTGATCACTGAAAGAGAGAGGAGTGTTATATCTGATGCAAATATTGGGCAAAATAAGTATCAGCGGATGGAAAAATTAATGGAGCATGTTAAAGTTGCAGTTAAAATTAAGGAGTCAGTTTTCTTCCTCTTCTTAAATATTTTTAATAAGAAAGGTACTCAATCTGCTACAGAATTTGCTCGAAAACTAATGCAAAGGTATGAAGATAAACTGTCTGATGCTCATCTGGAGTCATCATCAAAAAGAGCCAAACAGTATGAAAGGGATTAGCTGTTTGATTTTTTTAATTTTTGTAAATCCCTCATGTTTCTTATATTATTATTTTATACTTCTTGCAAAAGTTATTGTCTGCAGCATGCAAACCACCTACGCGTTTATGTCAGTTATTAACTTATTTAGTTATTTTAGTTGATAAAGGGTTAAAATTAATAAGTTATCAATGGCAGTTTGTCCAGAGCCAGCAGGAAAGTGGTGGAAGGAGCACTCACAGAGTCTGAGACGAATATTGGAGGTTCTCCTATCCTTCGGTTGTGGTGTATTGAATATTATTAGTTTTGGTAGCCCTTATTGGCTAGACCAGGTGAGTCACTAGAATCTGTTTTCTAAGATTTCAAATTGAGACTATTTCAAATGACTTTTTGTTATTAGGGGGAGAATGGTCATATGGGTCTGTGGCAGAACTGTAGTAATACAAAGTGTCAAGGTCTATCAAACCCATCAGGTTAGTGTACGTGTGTGGGGTAGTGGGTTGGTCTACTACTTTAGTAACTCTATGATCCTTTAATCTAAATCATAGCAATTAATAGAGACCTAAAATGATGATTTGAATGCATTTAATATTTAGCTAATCGCTGATTACTGTATAGTTTCAAATTTTCATGGTCGAAAAA